TTAATCCATATGAAAATGTATAGAAATTCCACAGAAGAGATTTGTTTGGACAGTTAGATTAATCTCTGTCTTCCTATCTCTGAGCCCAAACAAAAACAAAAACCTTCCTATTTTCTTTCCTTGTGCAACAAGATTTCTTCGAAATTCAATAAAAGTTTTTTTAACATTAAGTGATCAATAAATGTTTATTATATTTTTCTTTTACTGTTGGGGATTCATTGCGGGTACCCACAGAACCTGGTTACATTGATTGCTTTTGTTAGCTAAGGTTCCACTTATGTTTGTGTCCCACCCCCCAAAAGCTGTAGCACACCCCTTGACTCCCCATCCCCTCCCAATAAAAGTTTTAAAACTACCTATTCTGGTTAACTCCTAAGAGTATTCAAACCTTTAATGCTGATCACATTGTTTCAAATTAAGAGCACTGGTATCTCATTATCATAGTCATTTTAAAGGCAAATGCATTTTGAAATTTAGTTCCTCCACTTAGATTCTGTTAAAACAAAATACTTCTTATAAGGAAATTCTTTAATATTGGGTGTGGGGATTGAAAAATAACATAAAACTTTTTCATTTCACTTTTTTTTATTTTTGAAGAAGACAATAATGACAAAAATAGACATACTTTATCTGACATTATGAAAATATAAATTTTATTAATAAAAAAGATGAGAGTGTATTAGTACCTCTCTGACCTTTTTTAGGTGTGTTTACCAAAACTGCTATATGTATGTGTGTGAGTGTGTGTAGTGTGTGTATGTGTATACATATACATATATATATACTAACATATATGATACATATAATATGCACATGTATATATAAGTATACACACACACACATAGATATATATATATATATAGAGAGAGAGAGAGAGGGAATTGTATAAGTGGTTTCCACTTGGCTAATGACATCATGCTTTTATAGGCATGTTTAACTTTTGGCATTAATTTTACTTTCTTTGAATACATCTATCTGGAACAAAGACAAGTATTTCCTTTGTACAAGAATTGTTTTGACAGACAGCCACAGAAGACAGAAAAATCTATCAGTATATTTGATTTGTACTTTTTAATACAGAATCCTGATAACCAGGAAGGAGTTGGGGGCTGGGGGTGAGGTGTTGTTATATTTCATAGTAAAATATAATAATTAACTTCAGAAATATGACAAACCAGCATCATATGAACATAAAGACTGGAGAGAAAATTTAGACATCCCTCCGAATTGTAATCCTCATAGAAGACCAAGTCCTATTCAGTTCAGGTGACTTTAGACAGAGCTTATGTTTATGCTATGCCCTAGGCTCTGAAAAGAAATTGACAAGGCGACCAGCAAGAAACTAAAGTCCTAGATCCAGTACATTTGCAAACGAAAAATCTCTGCATAGCTCCACCTCGAATGACAAGTAGCATTTAGAAAGTGTCACCTCATTCCTAAGAATACATGAGTGATATTTTCACTCATTCACCATCCTTTCTAAGAAGGTTTTCTTCATATTCACTCAAATTTTTAAAAAACCACTTCCACCTTGATCATTCCAGCATACTTAATGATTAATTTTTTTTCTGCAATATTTTCATATAGCTCTCCATTCTTAGAAGTTTAATCATATCCAGACTCACGCTGATGGAAGTTGTCTCAACTTATTTTTAGACTGTAAATATTTTTATATGGTATTTAATTTGAAATGAAAGATAAAATATTTACTTTAAAAAATTATTTTGTCTAAAGATACTTTAGTCTCTTCTTCAGGAAATACTGATTTGGATTCAACATTTTCCTAAATGTATCTTTCACTCTCTCCCCATTTCTTTTCTCTCCCTATTTCTGTTTTCTGGGATCCACATACGTTATCATTATTTAGCACACTCAATTTCTTAAACTGGTTCATTGTTGCCTTCTTACCCAGTATCAATTTGAGCTTGAGAGGACCAAGGGGAAGAAGAGTGAGGGAGGGAATGAATACAATCAAAGCTCAGACACTTCTTCAAAACAAAACTTTAATGATATTGATGGAGTAGGAAGAGACATGACTTGCAGTTCAGTCTTCCTTGAGGGGAAGAAGATTAAAATTGTGACGTACACGTGATTGCCATTTTTAGATGATACAGTCGCATTCAAATGACTATAACTGCATGAACTTTAATTATTTGGAAATATGTCTCCACATCTGATCAGACTCAAGAATTTAAAACAGACTAGCTTTAGGTCTCTCAATCCCTTTTCTTTTCAGAAAATTTGACAATTTAAAATATACTTCCTTTTAAGTCTTAATCCTTATCAAGCAATACTTTGATATGATATGACATTGTTATATGACAAATTGGTTGATTCTAAGTGAATCTGATTTATTCTCCACTTTTGGCTGTTAAGAGCTACAAAGATGTTTCCTTTTTAAGATGTGACGAATCTAATAAGAACTGACACATACATTAGTTTAGTTCTGTATAAAATCAATGGAAGCACAGAAAATAAACAATATACTATTAAAAGACAAGTGAATGTGTATGGATTGACATGTTGTTTTCAAGTATTCTTCTACTGAATAAAATGTGTGCGCTTAGACTCACAAACTTACAAAGGGAAAAACAACACAGGTAGAAGATAAGACAAACATTTCTTATCTAGTTCTTACAGTTTAAACAGCTACACATTACCCCGTAAGTAGCTGGAGAATCTAAAAGGGATTTCTCGGTTTTGGATACTGCAAAACACACCTGGGTTACTCACATGCTTTTTCTATTCTTCAAGGACAACTGACACAGCCTGTGCAGAAAGTTACATCTCATTAACCTCCTTCTCGAGTTTCTATTCCCATATTTTCTGTTTCAGCACTTCAGTGAGGGAAGTTTGTCATAATGCAGTAGCACTTTCTTTTTTAACTTTCAAACAAGATTTCTCCTTTTATTTCTTCCTTTTTCCAAATAAGGCTTACCTACCCTTTTCACTTTTGATAACGAACAGTGACAATTCTAGTTCTTTTCTAACAGTTTTATGTATATGTTTAATATATATTAGTGATGTAGTTCATCTACAATTATTTTTACTATTTTTCCATGTGATATTACAGTATCCGTGGTGACACAATCTCACACTATTGCATTTTAGGAGAAAGTAACAATCATTTTCAATGTGTTCTGTTTATATTTCAGATGTTACTCTCTCTCTTCCAGCACTGAATATCACCAAGTATAATCTCTCAGTTATTTTATTTTTTTATTGCAGAAGAAAGTTGTGGGTCAGTAGTTTTTTTAAATTGCATATAAAATCTGTGGTATATATTTATTCCGATCACGATAGCAACAGCTCTATCTCCCGTAAACATGCACAAAGGCACTGAGGACTTAGCTCTACATGAGGTCAAATTTCTGGAGATTGGAGGCTCCATCAGAAGGAGCCCAATAGCAGTCAGTAGTCTGCCAGGCCATTATATTTTGCTAGCATACTGGGCTGAAAAGCTTCACTCTGTTCATCTGTTCTGGTACAACTTCAAACATTCTTCCAAAGAAAGGTTGAGAGCTGATTGTTCCAGATCAGAGAACATCCTCTTTTCACAGAGAGCTATGTGCTTCCATTTCATCAGTTTAATTTTCAACTATTCCACCCCAACTTCAAGGAAAGTTAAGCAAGTTTAGAAGCTGCATTGTTAGATGGCAATGATATGTTTAAAAGATTATCACCACGAAATGTCAGATTTTCTAAAGGAACTCCTATTAGTTCCACTGTTGGTAAAGGAAATGGCATGTGTGGGTAGGCTATACAGACCAGAATCTGGTTGCCAACAGCAGGTTTAATAGAAATACTGCAATTCATTCTCTAGTTCTTCCTTATAATGAAAAGCAAAAAAATTTCGGTCAATTCCTAATTCACTGCATATAAACACAGTCACTAAATTCCCAGTGCGACATTTTGCCTATTTGCCTGGCATTGGGATCTCGGTCTGTCTGTCTGTCTGTCTCTCTCTCTCTCTCTCTCTTTCTTCTCATTTTTTCCTATTTAATCTAAAAATCAGAACTGTACTCATCAATATGAGCTTATGCTACGACTAAAAAAAAAAAATCTGATCTGTGATACTTGTGATTTTACTTAAGCAGTTAACCCTTCCAAATCCACCTATAGAACCAACTTTGCAGCTACTATCTCCCCCCCCCCTTTTCATCAGTTCATCTGTTGTCCAAGATTATTAAACTTGCACAGGGATTTCTGGCTTTCTATATTAAAAGTTAATAGAATCCTAGTTTATTTTAATTCCTACCTCCTCTCTCTTCTGTTTCCACCCCTATTTCCCTCCAAACTTCTACAATTCATCAGCTACTTGGAGAAAAAGCAAAAATTAAGCGCCAGGCTGGAGCCAGACCCTCCAGTAGTGGGTTAGCCTTTCAAGGTACTATGGGGCTGTGTCACAGACGTTCAAAATCAAGAAAGCCAAGTTCAAGCAGGAGCGTGTGCCCGGAAGCGCCCTTCTCTTGCTGGGGACAGGAATCTCCCCCAAACCTGCCCCAGGAAAGGGCTAGAGAAAGGAAAGAGGCTCGAGTGGGCGCCTTCCCCTCTCGGTAGACCGGGAATTCAGCAGACAAGGAAGTTAACCTGGGAGCTAAGTTGAGGGCGGACACGCTTAAGGCAGAGAACCCAGAGCTCGCCAAAGCTCGCAGTTAAGTCAACGCGGAGGGAAGTCTCCTGGAAATGCGAATTCTGATGCCAACATCTGCAGCGCTTGGGATGCGCGGGCAGAAGCGCGCAGTCAAGTCCAAGGCTCCCGGAGGGGACCAAATCCGGACCGTTAGCGCCGGAAAAGGCAGTAGGGATGCGGAGGACTCTGGCGCCCGGGTCAGAAACCCGCCGCCTCACCTCTCACCCCCGAGAGGCCACGGCACGGTGGCCAACCGGTCCGGCGAGCGGGGCCGCCAGGACTTAAGTTTCACACTCACTTATCTGCAAGCATCGCCCAGCCGGAAAGCCGAGGAGGGAAGGGGGGACGGGGCAGGTGTTCTCCTTACCTCGGTCAGCGCCCACGGTCAGCACCTTGGCGACAGGCAATAATCCCGAGAGCGTGAGTAAGGCGAGGAGAAACTCGGACATCGTGGCGGCCCGGGCAGGAAGCCTGCGCTGGAGACGGCTCGGCGGCACCCTCGGCCCGGCGGCGGCGGCGGCGGCGGCGGCTCGGAGCCCGGGATCCGGCAGCGTCATTTACAAATGTCACTGGAAATTCTTCAGCTGGCGGAGTCCAGCCAGCGCGCCTTCTCCTGCCCGCCCGGAGCAGGCGGTGGAAGGTGGCGGGCTGCGCGCGCGCGGAGAGAGAGCGCAGAGTGCGAGCGCCGGCAGCCGCCGCGGCTCTGACTTTTCAATGCAGGGGACGTCTGATCTTACATCACGCAAGAGGGGCAGTGAGCGATGCCAGCGGAGGGGATGCACTGATTAATCACCGGATCCGCCGCACGCCCCTCGGTCCTCCACATAAATCACATATATTACTCAGTAAGAGGCACTTAACACAACAGGAAAATACCACCGCAAACTGAGAGCGCCACAGATCACGATTATTTCGGTCTCCTTGAAGGGAAAGTAACTCCAAGCTGGTTCTGTAGGGATTTGGGTCTTCAGAGAAAGGGGAGACTCCTCATTGGGCTGAGCCAGCCAGGCACTCAGAACGCTCCGCATTTAACAGCCACTTCGAATTAGCAGCTAGAGCCCTGGGCTGCTTCTCTAGCAAAGAGGGTTTGATCCCTTCCCCTGGAAGCTTCCTTCTCAGGGAGGAAGGACAAGACGAGAAGCTGAGCTCGCTTTGGGGAAATGGTTTCCTCCTCCCGACACAGACTCCCAAGGCGTTCTGATTGGCACTTTTAACTTTTATGCTGAGCAGCACCTGGGGACAAAGATGAAAAATTTAGTGACTCAGCAGAAACAAACAGCAACAACAAACCCCCAAACAATCTCAAAAGTCATTTACTGTTGCTTAAGAAGGGAGGGTTAATCAAAAAGCTATTGAGGTCCCTAAGCAAGGAACAATAAAAAAAGAAATTGGCAGGTTTTGCAGTGAGTTCCTCTCTAAAAAGGTATGGGGAGCCATTCTACACAGGTTTTAAGGGCTTGCTGTTGTTTTTGTTTTGTTGCCCTTTTCTACATAACATAGTGGTGATTTAAGAACTTTCCCAGGCCATCAGGGGCTCAAAATAAATCAATGGCTTTAAAACAAAACAAAGCAAAACTAGCTAGTATGATCACTTAAATTTTTAACACCGTCATCCACGTAACCAAAATTTTAGTTTGCCATTCAAAAATGCATGTGGGTTTAAAAACCAGAAATCTTAAAAGCGGAAGACTTATTTTCTTCCCAGTAACATCAATAACTCTTTTTCTAAGCATAAAAGTTGAAAATGTTTTGTAGTTACTATTTTAAAACCGGGGATGAGTGGAAGGGGAGACTATGAGAAAGGAACAAAACGAAGCAACAGGACGATGGCAGAGCAAAAACACGATGGCTTGTACACTATTCAGTTTCCTGGTGAGACCGACAGATGAATGCCAACTCTGGGAACCAGCTACTCATGAGAATAAAATGATCCAGAACCATCTCTGAAGCCATTAAAATTAGACTGGATCAAAGAGGTGACAGAGACTATTGTCAAGGATCCCTGGTGTTCACCTTTTCATAGTGTGTGCTTATAAATATGTCTTATCTGTCATTTTCATATTTTAAAGTTACTTTCCTTTGTAAATAGAATGATTTCGTGTCTAAAATCTGACCCTTCCGTTTAAAAGTGCATATTTTTTTCTTGTAAAGTTGTTCACATATATAATTTCCCCTAAATATTTTTATTGTTTCACAATAAAATGCAACACATAAGACAAAAAGAGAAGTACTTTCCCCCTATTTTAGTTCATAGCAAAAAATCTACAAACTTGGGAAGGAGTGGCAAAATTTAAGGCATGTGAATAAGAAAGAGAAGATAATTTTGAATGATGTGCAAAGTAATAAACGTTTCTTTCTCAAAGGTCCATAGATCTCTGAATTGTATGAAATACTTATTCATTGGAACAAAAGAAGTTAAGTGTCTGTCTTACATTACCCCATTCAGTCAACCAAGAGGTCAACTATTAGGAAATTTGTATCCACTTAAGCCCTGGCAAGAAAATCAGGAGTGTTCATAAGCATGCTAAGGACATCCAGATTCTTCCTCTTCTATAACATTACAACCAGTTGCCGTCCACTTCAAAAATTTCCAGGTGGAGGAAAGCATTCTGGAAAAGCATGACCCACCAAAGACTTAAATGTTAAGTTAAAATGATTCATCTACTTCTGTAATATGTGTAGCAGCTCTAGATTCTATATCCAGCATGGAAAAGGGAAAAGCTAGGAACAATAATGCGAGAAGTAAATGTCCAGAATATTCTCCATGCTAAATATATTGCATTTTAAATGCATAGTGCCTCCCAATAATCAGCCTATTAAGTCAATTAGGCAGGGTAAAATCCATACAATCTTCTGGTTGACGTTTTTGGTTTTCTTGAATGAAAGAAAATCAAGAATGTATTGTCTGTACTTTGTGACCAGCATAAAAAAGTAAAATAGAATTCTTTCTTAAAAATCATCATTTAAATCACCAATCATGAATGATACATGACTCAAAATAGCGCTAAGAAAGAATGAGAGTAAATGTGGAAGTTTGGTTACTGAGGCATAGGCTAGAGTACCAGTGGATGTGACTTGTTACATTTAGTGTTTACTATGAACCAGTCTTAGTGCAGTACTACCTATAAAATGGAAATTGTAACTTTATTTTAAGAATGCAAAGAAAAGTGATTAATAAGAACCTAAATGGTAAAAAAACTACAGCAGATTGGCAGAAGTACGGAGGCATAGGTATGTGCTAGTGCTCAAGTGAGCACATGACTTGAATTTAAATGCTTGTCAAGAGGAATTTTTAAGATAAGTATTTATAAAAGGACACTGACTTATATTGCAAAGCATTCTATGTGATAAACCGATCAAATGGATTGTACAATGGATATGTTGACATATTTGTTCCAAAATGGAAATAAAGCCAGGGTTGAAATGAAATGGGATGAAACTGTCCCACATCAAATCACTCATGGTTCTTCTTCCAAATATCTATTGAAAATGACCAGTATATCAAAGAAGATTGCTCATTATTTATGAGCAATAATTAAATTGATTAAAGAATAGACCAAATATGAGCTTTAAAATTAAATAATTTATTCCCAAGTTTTGAATAACCATCAATTTTAATGGATTGCAAATAAAATAGAAAGCACAAATGTAATTTTCCATGAAATACTTTTTTTCCCCATAATATATGCTTTCACGAAAAAGGAAATTAATAAAGTATGTTATCAGTGAAGCGAAAAGAGGTAGAGCTACTGTTCAAATTTTGTTTGTAACTATGGCCCATTATAATGTCTTCATTCCAATCAAAGTTATTAACACTGACAAGTTAAATAAATTAATTCATCAGACTATAGAATATTACGAAATCTCTCATTGAGATAAATTAAACAAAGTAGAACCAATCATTGTTTCTTTCTGTTCTAAAACAACACACAAATATTAATTATCAGTCAGTGGTAATCTTATACTTCTCCATTAGAGCCAGGCTTTGTATACATGTGATCAAACATCAGATTTTCATTTCTGCTAACTTGATTATTTTTGGTGCTGTTGAGTTTCTCACCACTGATAGTAACAATTCTTGGGCAGCACACCTGAAAGTTGTAAGTTGGAAAGAGGATATGTGTCTAACAAACTGGAGCTGACAGTCTGTCTCAGGGAAGAGATGTGTCTGAAGGAGAGTTGGCCTGAATGTTAGGTTGCCAGGGATTTCTGTGGCTATCGTTCGTTGCAAGGGCTGCTGGGTTCCAGACAGAAAAGTTGCCAGGCAGCAGCAGACACAAGACAAGAAGGAAAAGGAAGAGAGAGAGAGAGAAACGGGGAGAGAGAATTATTAAAGAAACATTATCAGTTCTTTAAAATTGAAACACTTACCACAGACAAACCTTAAGAAACAGCTTTACATTCAAGTTCTTTCTCAAACTATGGCACTTCAATGCACATTTTGACTGCTTTTCTTCAATAGTGTGCTCTGGGTCAACGGGAATATGGGGATTTGATCCAGATAAGTAAGATTCTGGCGCAAGTTTAATTCCTACCATTTACCAATTGTTAGAAGCTATGTACAAACTGGAAAGAAAATGAAGAGTGATGCAATGATTTGATTAAATCTGGAAAGTAAAAATCTTTTCCAAAAACTCAAGGTGGTCTTCTCTTTACAGTCTCAGCTTCTCTTTACTGCCCTTTGTGTATGTCTTCAGACACACTTACAGTGGAATGTACAACTGAGAGACAATTATAACTTTCAAAAGACAAATAATATAAGCTTTCTCGTACTAATTTGATTGTTTTAGTTTTTACTGACTCTTGTTTGATACACTTTTGAAAGAAGGAAGGAAAGGAGTCTTCTGATTTAGGCGAAGTCAGAAGACAAGTTGAAAGATTAAAGATAATAACCTATTTAGTTTAGTTTTTTAAAGGAAGGACTTCCATTATAATAATATAGCCTCAAGATACAAATTCTATTTTGCTTTTTGGATATGTCATCAGAAGGCACAATCAGTAATATTGCAATCCATGTGTAGGTAATACAAAAATGTCAAAAACTCACTAAATCCTTGTCACTCTAATCATATGGGAAAAGCTCTTGAGTTTCAAGTCAGTTGCTGATTATAAGGCATGGTGCTTTGTTGTTTTTAGATCCTGATGTACTTGTGGTCAATAAACTCCACGTTGCCTTCTCCAACTGCCTGAATAGACAGTGGATCATGTACAGAGTTGGTTATCAGTGGCCTGGTTGTCAGGATACACTTTAAGTATGAACTTGAGGTATTTTTCTACCTGTTAATATTGATACCTGATCTTCTGATCATCATCTGGGTGCTCCTTTATAATTAAGAAATAGAAATATTCAGCTGGGTGGGCCTGGTGGCTGGTGGCTCATGCCTGTAATCTCAGAGGCTTGAGGTGGCTGGATCACTTGAATTTAGGGGTTAAGACTAGCCTGAGTAAG